CTTCGTCCTCCACCCCCCTGCACTTAGCCCAGTCTCCCACAGGACTGGCCTGAGATTTGTCCAGGGTCCACCTGGCTCCTGGGCAGTCTTGCTGCTTGAGCGGCTGCTCGCTGAGCGCCTACCCTGCCTGGCCTTGGCTAGGGTGCCACTCCCCCTGGTGCCCATCAGTGTCAGAGAGAGCTGAGCGGCCCAAGGGCATTGACTCCCCGTGGCCTCCACGCACAGGTCGCTGAATTGCCTCACTGCTGCCTGCCAGCGGGTTATTGGGGAGCATCAAAAGCCCAGACCCTCGGGTCGTCCTCTCGGTCCCCAGAGCTTTGCCTGAGGTGGGGGAGCTGCTTCATTTGATTTCTCATGCCTGGGGAACTGAAACTGCAAGCTCAGGAAGAAAAGCAGGTGCGAGCATTCCTGGATCCTCCCTGGCGCCATCACAGCAGCCGGCGGCCAGGCTGTTTGAGTTCGAACAATAACCTGGGGAGGGGTGGAGCCTTCACTGGCCCAGTGTTAAGCACAGACTCTGGGGAAGGGCCCTTGCCCACCTCTCACCCCTACCCCCGGCCCTAGCTGAAGCCACCAGGTGCTCAGAGTGGGATGTGGTCGGTATTGGTGCAGCCCAGGCCAGCAGCACACGGGGAGATGGGGAAATCACGCCCCGCAGCGGGCCCAGACACAAGCATGTACCAGGAAACCTGCTGCACGGACGCGCAGCTGGGCTGTGGGCCACCCACAGCCACACTTCCTGCTCACGACTGCCCCACAGGTTGCATTTCTTCTGGCATAGGCCGAAAGGTGATGAACCCACCACAGGGGAAGCCCCCGCAGTGACCGCCCCAGCGGTGACAGCCCTGCATGCCGCAGCAGGAAGAAGGAGGCCAGTGGAAAGGAGCGAGTTTCTGCTTATACCTACAGCTCCTGGGGCTCAGCATGCTGGGAAGTGACATGGACTCGTGAGACAATATTGCATTGTCTAGTCTGCCTGCTGGAGTGTGACGGTGGCTCGGTAATGCTGACGCCCCGGCACTCAGGCGAAATGACAGCACAAGGGAATTCAGAGGCCACGAAGCACAGCATTCCAAGGGCTTTTTGGCCCATAAGCATTTTAATCTGGGGAACCTTCAGAGCAGTGACATCCATAGCGCTTAGCACAGAAATCACAAGCATATTGCACAAACGCTGCTAGCGGCACCTGGCTCCGAAAAGGCAGCAATTCCCCAACATGTGGTGTGGGACGCAGCTACAACTGCGTGGCGGCTGCAAGCAACACAACCTGAAGCTACTGCTGCTACTACTGTTAGTCAGCGGAAGCCACTTCCTCCGGCAGGCTCGCAAGGACTGGGAGCCAGGCAGGGCTCAGAGCAGCAGGCAGAGGGCTCCCTCGCTGGCCCAGGACTGCCACAGAAAGTCCTCAGAGCCGACAGTGGAGGAAAGTAGGATAGCAAGGCCAGGGGCCCATTTCCCCAGCGGCTCCCCTGGAGGTGACATTCCAGGCCAGGCGCACTGAGCTCACCGCATGTGGCTGCGGGTAGGCGAACAATGAAACCAGGACAAAGCCAAGGGAGAGGGATTACACAGGCACCCCAGGCCGCGCAGCTCAGCCATGCTTTATCCACACGCTGTCTGTTGGTGGGAAGGAGGAAGTCTGAACCCACATTAAAAAGGAATAAGGCAAATGGCCGGGCTGTAGCCCAGCCGGCTGTGGCTGGCCCAGCCCAGGGGTACGTAGCGGGGCCATGGATGATGTCACTGCCAGGACGTGGGCCTGCCAGAAAGGGCATTATGCTCCCACGGTCACATGGGGTGAGGCGCGCCCCCAGAAGAAGCTTGTTACTGGCTAACCCTTCGGGTACTGGCCGCTGCTGCTGGCGTCAGTCCCCGGGAAGGGCGAGCAGCCTCCTAAGAGCTGCACCTTGCAGAAGGGCCGAATGGGGCCGAAGACTGGACCTTTCAGAGCTAGTGCAACCATCCAAATCCAGCCCCGGTCCAGAGTGATTAGACGTTGTGCCAGGCGTTATGGGGTGGGCTGGGGGTCTCAGTCCTGTTCAGTCTCCCCTCCCAACCCACAATTAGCACTCTTGACGGCAGGCTCCAAGAGGCCAAGCACCGACCGGGCACGGCAACTCACCTGCCCTCCCTGCTACAGACGGGCTCTCAAGCACAGGGCAAGGGTGCTCATGCCACAAGCCTGCTGCCCACACTGGCATGGTTCTGGGATAAAAAGACAGTTTCAGACCCTCCCCCGGCATGTTTCTATTCCACGTTGAACCCCCCCCCTTGGACACCAGCCCATCTACACTAGTCAATGTTGGGGTACCCCAGACCAGCGCCTGACGAGCGTGAGGGGCAGTGAATACAGACAGGAGCGGTCCCTACTTGCACCATGCTCCCCAGTGTTACCAGGCTGGCAAAGCCAAGGGCACTCCGGCCCCAGGGCACTGCTGCCAGCTGCCCAGGCTGTGGTTTGTAGGCACGGGCCCCGCAGGGCGAAGGATGGGACCGGGCACCCCCAGGAGAGAGAGGCCGGGTGCAAGGTGGGCACATGCCAGGGCCATGAGACAGCAGGGAGGCAGGAGCACAGCTTTGTGCTTCGCCTGTGGCTCCGCCTTGGGAGCTGGCTGGGCCCCTCTTTGTACAGCGCCGAGCACAGCGCCCCAACCCCACCCCCTGCGGAGCGCGCCGCCTGTCGGCACGCCAGACCCGCTGCAGCTGAGCCGAGCTTGCCCACAAGGGAGGACTTACGCATGCGCGTGGAACGCATGGGTAGTCTGAACTGCGCTTGCGCGGAGATAGAGGGGGGGCGGGGAGGGGTTCCTGGCCGGGCCGGTCAGATTGAGTCTGCGCCGGGACTGGGCTGGAGGGAGGCCGGTTTGCGCCTGCGCGGGAATGGCGCCTAACTGCATCGCGCCTGGGCGGATGGGGGCGCTTATGCCACCTGGGATGCGCCTGCGTGGTAGTGTCCGGGGCCAAGCTCGGCTGCGCCTGCGCGTGGGGTGGCGAGGTTCCGGAGCCCGACCCGGGCGGCCTGCGCCTGCGCGCCGGTGTCCTGGCCCGGGCGGGCTGCGCCTGCGCGGCGGGGGTGTCCGGGCCCGGGCGGGCTGCGCCTGCGCGGGCTGCGCGGTGGCGGGGCCCTAAGCAGCTAGCGGCGCCTCCTGTGTGTCTGAGGCGGAGGGAGCGGAGCCCAGCCGAGCCCGGAGCCCCTGCGCAGGTCCAGCCCGACCCCCGCCCGTCCCTCCCCCGGCATGGCACTGGGCGCGGGGCCCCCCGCAGCCTCCCCCGGGCCCGGCAGGAGGAGGACGGGGAAGCAGCAGCGGCCCGTGGGATAGGCCGAGCGCCGCCGCCTCCCCCGGGGCGAGGGGCCCCCGCCCGCACCGAGCCGCCCGCCGCCGGGACCGGCCTGAGCCCCGCCTGGCCGGGGCAGCCGCCTTGGGCCCGCCCGCGGAGAGCGCGCGAGGAGCCGCCGCTGCCCCCGCCGAGGGGCCGGGGCCCCCGGGCCGGGCCCCCCGCCGCGCCCGGGCTGGATGAATGTGGGGCAAGATGGAGACCAAGACGATCGTGTACGACCTGGACACCTCCGGGGGGCTGATGGAGGTGAGCAGCCGCCGCGCCGGGGAAATGGCGGGGGCCGCTGGGGGCCGGGCCCCCCCTCGGGGCCGGGCTGACGGGAGCCCCCGCGGCCCATCCAAGGAAGCGCGGAGGGACGGAGCCGGCCCGCCCGCCCCGGGAGGAGCCGCGGGGGCTCGGGCGGGGTGGGAGCCGCGGGGGCTCGGGCCGGCCGGGTTCGGCCCAGCCCCTCACCGCCCCTCTGTTTGTGTGCGCAGCAAATCCAAGCCCTGCTGGCCCCCCCGAAGAGCGAGGACGGGGAGAAGAAGAGCCGGAGGCCCGAGAAGGAGGCCCGGCGAAGTGGCCGGGCCACGAACCATGATAGCTGCGATAGCTGCAAGGAAGGAGGGGATCTGCTGTGCTGCGATCACTGCCCGGCCGCTTTCCACCTCCAGTGCTGGTAAGGCCCGGGGCCCGCCGGAGTCCTGCCCGTTAGCTTGGCGCATTGTGTGCGCGAACAAAACCCCGCTAGGGCTGCTCCCGCGAGCGCCAGCTCATCCGGGGCAGCCGAGGTGAACAGCCCCCGAGCCCCCTTTCCATGGGGCTCCGCGGCTCGCTCCGGTGCTCAGGGGTGGGCAGGAGGCTCCTCTTTCCTTTTTGTGTGAAGGGTTGAGCGGCGGGGCCGAGGAGAGGCTCGAGGAGGAGCTGTGCTGTCCGCCTGCGAGTCGCACCGCCTTTATTGCAGGCACCCGGGGGTTCAGCCTTGAAGTTTCTTTTCTTCCCGCTCCATCTTCGGGGCTGCCTTGCGTGGGGATCCCTTGGGGGCTGCGATGGGTGGGAAGTCGCCTTTGCTTCTCTTGGACTGGCCTGACGTTGCTGAGCGCCTCAGTGGTGCTGCTGCAGCTGCTGGGAATAATGGAGGTTGCTGTCTCTGTGTCTCTCCCTGCCTCACTGTTTACAATATGGCGACCTTCCTTTAAATTATATTTTTATTCTCAGCGCCATTTTGGCTGCATATAGCACTTCCAAACCCTGGCACCGTTACTGTAGTATTTTGAATACAGAAGTATCTTCCCAGCGTTGATCCAGAACTCTGAACTTGAAAATTGACCCCTCCTTATTCCCTTTTCCTTCCTCCTGTCCTTTAGACCTGCCTGTTCCATCTTGTAGGAGTGACCAATACGAATTCAGGGACAGCTTGCCTGTAGTTTTGTGCTCTTGTTGCTAATCCTCGGTGGTGGTTTGGAAATGTGTGCTTTAGAGCATAGTGGCTGCTGTGAGGGGGGGACTGGACCTTCGGTGCATTACCTGGAAGCCTCCCAAGCTAGTAACAAAAAGCAAACTAGCAAAGTCAGGAGATGTCTGAACTTCGGTTTCTGCCCTGAGAAGTTATTTTTTGCTTCTGCGTGAGGAGCCCAGGTGCATCGAAAGCGAATTTGCGTATATCTGTTCAGCAATTGACTCAGGCTCATGTGAAATTCAGACAGCCAAAGTGAATAATGGGATGGGGGAGGGAGCAAGGCAAGTCAGAGCAACGAAGTTATGGCAAATCGGTATTCTTCCTTGGAGAGAGATTTTTAACCACATTCCTTATTGTCTTTCATGCCTCGGATATTTGTTTGACTCGGCTACAGTTGTCTCCTTGTGACTTTAGCTGAATGGTTGTACTTTTTTATATGCTAATTGCAGGTCTTAGGGCGCTTATTACAGTGATTACTGATACCGGGGAAATTAACCGTCTGGTCAGAATTCTGTAGGGAGTGCCCTCTTACCAGTCTATAGACCTGTCTACCCAAGACAGGAAGCTCCATTTTTATAATCCATGATACCATCATTTCTACCTGGAAGAAGTTCCCCTGGTAGTTTTATTATATAGAGCACTTAAAATCTGCTGGAGAACATTGTTTTTTTGGTTTAATCTGTTTAGTAATTAGACAAGGTGGGGGAGGTAATCTTTTATTGGGCCAACTTCACTTGGTGAAAGAGACCAACTTGGGTGCTTACACAGAAGCTCTCCTTCACATAGCTGTGCTTTTAGGACAGGATTGTTTTATAATGTAGGGCTCAGTAGTTCAACGCAAACAAGTTAATGTTGTACGTTAGGATGTTGTTGATATAAGCTGAACCTGGTAAAGTCGAATGAAGTGCCTAAAATGTTAAGCCTCCATACAGTTTTGAGTCTCATTTGTTGAAGCAGGATAGCTGCTAGAAACCTTGAGAATTTTGGGGAGGGAAATGATCCACACACAGTTTCTCACTTAACTTAAAACCTGGTCTCTTGATCATAAGTCAATATCCACTTTCTAGTCATGGAGATATTAGCTATGCATATAAGTCATGTTGACTTCAATGAGACTGCTCTCCAGGGTAAGGGGTTTGTAAGGTTAACCCTGCAATTTATGCAGCCACTGTATTCAAATAATGTTCAGCTTAAATTTGCTTTAACAGGCTTTTTCTTCAGCAGAAGTAAAGGATGGGCTGCTTTCTGTTTTCCTGTTCTCATTTCCAAAACCTTGCATACCATTTTGTAAACGCATGCAAATGAGACAAGTTGCCTCAAAGGAACACTTGGGTTTTGTCTTTACCTCGTACATCTTGCTTAAAGTAAACTTCCATTCCATTGGGCATGAATGCAGTACATGCATTTCCGTTATTCTGCAATGTTTCAATAATGCTTGCTTTAAGTACATTTAAACAGTGACTATAAACTTAAATATACCAATCTATGGCCAACTTGTGAATTCTGCTAACTGTTTGAGGCATCTTCCAGGCATTTCCCTCAATACTGTTTTCACTGTTCTAAAAGTTTCTTTTGTGACAATGAGGAAAACAATACGACAATACCTAGTTTTTATTTAGAGCGCTTCAACAGTACATCCTGAAGCACTTCACCAAGGAGGTCGGTACCATCTGTAAAGGATAAGGCGTGGAAGTGACTTGCCCACCAGGGAAGTGGCATAGCCAAGAATTGAACCTGTCTCCCCAATCCCAGTCCAGTGCGCTATCCACTAGGTGACACTGCCTCCCCCATATACAATTCTTGTAACTTGCTTGCTACATTATTGTACCTTGATTAGGTAAATACGTGTATATCTCTAAAGCAACAATCTGCATGTTTTAACTTAAAAAGGAAACAACCCAAAATTATGCAGTGTGGTTCTCTGCTTCCATAGTCCATGTTAGTCTGGTGGGTGAGTTTTTACCCATGTTTATTGAAATTCATTCTGTAATCTATTGTGTGCACTTCGAAGATATGTTCCAGAAAGCAAGTCTTGAAATATCCAGGCAGGTATTGTGGTTCCATTTTTGGTTTGGTTGAGTGTCAGGGTGTTCACGGGAGTACTCAAGAAGATCTGGTCTTCTCTCCTGAAAGTCCTTTGTTTTGTTCTTAACCATATCTTGACTTCTACAGTACTTCCACATATTTGGAAGCCAGCTGAAAAAAGATGATAGCTTTGAATATTTCCAGGTCTAATTACAGTATATTTACCTGCCAAAAAGAGCAGTTTTACCAAGTTCTTTGTAGTTACGAGTGGGTTGTCAGCCCCAGAATGACTTCATGTGGATGGAACAGATTTCTGATTCATCTATTATGAATTTGACCACTCTTGTAATCTTCTCCAAGAAAGATTATAGCTTGGGGAAAAACCAAATAAAATCTATTTTCTTTGCTTACATCAGATTTCATAAGCGTTGTTGCAAATAATTTGGATGGGGTAATAGTTATAGAAAATTTTGTAGTGCCCTTTTCGCTAGATTACCTATGATGCTGCGTCTGCTATATTCAAATATGTTGACTTCTTCAGATTTAAATTTTGCATAGAATGCTTTTTCCACTTATCAGCTTTTTCCAAGGAAGTTTTATTGGTTTTTAGCTTTTAAAACTCTGGTTTTGGTTATGAAGCTTGCATATTAATTTGTCACTCACTAATGTGATTACTGTGAATGCAAGTTATTGAACAGTTCTAGAAGTAATGCAGTAGAGTCTTTACTTGAATTTTATCTCACAATTCGATTCCAAGGGGGCTTTTGAGCTGGGATAAACTATTTAAAAATTATCCAAAAGCAGTTTTCGTGTTTAGTAACTTTCTGTACTTTTCTCTTACCCCCTTGTTCTAGATACGTATAGCTATTGTAGTTTTTTTTCCTCTGTCTCCTCTCTCCTGCCTGATCCCTCAGTAAATGGTGATCCTGTGCTTGAGATCAGTCCATAGAAATTATTGTGATGTCAAAAATTCCATATGGCTTTTCTGAAGGATTAAGCAGAAAGTGGTTGAGAGGAAAAGCGCAGGCTTAAAATAGATAACTAGTAAAAATGGCAATAGAAGTTACAAAACAAAGCAAGTGAACTGACTTTTTAAAGCAGTGCTATTAATTTTTCCTAGTGTGAAAGGTGCTCTCAAATTACTGACCCATAGCATTCAGTTAGATTCTCATTTACAATTGCCTGTTTGTCTGGCTCCTGAGTACAAGGGTGTTAGTATACTGAAGCAATTTAAATTGTCTGAAATTAATCAACTTCCTTTTGAAGTGAATATGGCTCTTTACGTGACAACACTGACATACCAAAATTGTGAATCTCTTGTGCCACCTCCAAAGATTTCCCTTAATAGTTGACTCTTGTTCTGAACCAGATAAATTTTGTGGCTGTCACAGGGTAAGAGCACTGCATTGAGCACTGTCTGCTAGTTCCATCAAACATTTTTGCAACACTTGCCTCCCCATGTTTACATTTGGAGTGTTTGGCTCCGTTTCCCCTTTCTGATTTGGCAGTCCTCTGGCATGCTGTTGTTGAAGAATTGGAGTAACAGAGCTTGCTAAGAGAGGCAGATGAAGCTAAACTAGCCTAGGTTTGCATATTTTAGTTTCTGAGTCACATCAGTTGACAATTTTCCATTCTACATGTGAAATCTTTATGTTCAACTGCTACAACATGAATAACTTTCTGTACCTTATTCAGATTTAGAATTATCTTGGCCTATCGCAAGCTAGCATTCAATTTAGTTGTTAATTTAGGAGTTAATTTTGACTTTTCACTTTTGTGTCCGATTCCTCCCCTTCGCTCTCTTTTTTTTTTTTTTTTTGACTGAAAAAAAATCTTTGAGGCATCTAGATTCTGAGCTGCTGCCTTAATTTCAATGATTTGGTCTTTTAATGGCCATAAAAATAGGTGCTCTGGACATCTTGCTATAAGATAACTAACTCTCAGCTAAGTAATAGTGAACTGGACAAAGTTTAAATTCATTAATTTACATGTAGTGTTGAAGTGTAACTTCATACTGAAATTACTAATAACTTTAAAAAGGCTTGCACATTGGCTCTTTGTAGGTTTAAATGAACTTAGTAAACATTCAAACTTAAATGTTATCAAAACTAGATCCTCCCTTTATGTGAACAATGTACTGGCAAAATCCATCCTTTAAAAGGTCCTTGAAGTAAGCCTGGAATACAGAGACTTGG